AGTGGCTGGAAAGCTGCTCAGCAGAAAAGCACCTGAGGATGTTGGTTGACAGCCAGCTGAACATGAGCCAGCAGTGTGCCCAGGTGACCAAGAAGGCCAACAGCATCCTGGTCTGTATCAGAAATGGTGTGGCCAGCAGGAGTAGGGAAGTGATTGTGCCCCTGTACTCAGCACTGATGAGGCCCCACCTCAAGTACTGTGTTCAATTTTGGGCTCCTCACTACAAGAAGGACATTGAGAAGCTGGAGTATGTGCAAAGAAGGGCAACAAAGCTGGTGAAGGGCCTGGAGAGCAAGTCTTATGAGGAGCGGCTGAGGGAACTGGAGTTGTTTAGTCTGGAGAAGAGGAGGCTGAGGGGAGACTTTATTGCTCTCTACAACTACCTGAAATGAGGTTGTAGTGAGGTGGCTGTTGGTCTCTTCTCCCAAATAGCAAGTCATAGGACAAGAGGGCACAGCTTTAAGTTGCACCAGGGGAGGTTTAGGTTGGATATTAGGAAAAAATTCTTGACTGAAAGGGTTGTCAAGCACTGGAACAGGCTGCCCAGGGAAGTGGTGGAGTCAACATCCCTGGAGGTATTTAAAGGATGTGTAGATGTGGTGCTTAGGGACATGCTTTAGTGGTGAACTTGGCCATGTGTTTACAGTTGGACTAGATGATCATAATGTTTCCAACCAAACTATTCTATGACTAATACACTAAAGTATGTGAAAGTTTCCCTTGAAGTTTAGCAAACTCTGAACTGAATAAAGGAGCTAAAGCAGAATATATGTAATCAATAAAATATATTTGAAAAGGTAAACACCCTAGCTTCAGTCTAAAAGCATAGTTCTTAACCATTTTCATTTTTTCTAAACATTGATTTTAATCCCTTCTCTCCCACACCAAAATAATGAAGTTTTTTACCTTCACTTTTGCTGTCATCCATTGCCATTGCATACTACAAAGCAAAAGGTCAGTGGCAAAGTCCTCCTGTAGCTTCTCAGCACGTGTCATTACAGTGACCCACTGTTGATAGCACTAAGACTCACTAAGTCAATCCCATATCCACTGCAGGTCTGTTACAAGCTGGGTCTTTGTCACGTGAATCTGAGCACCGCAGTTCACAGCAGCTGTGAATCTGGTGCTGGCAAACCAAAGAAAACTTTTTTGTGGGGTTACCATGAAGGAAAGTTCAGAGATAGCAGGAGATTACAAAGGACACCCCAGCAGATTATAATGCAGAGAGACATGTTAATGTTTAAAGTAATTTAGGGCAGCATCAAGAACAGGGCCTGGCTAGCGGCCAGATTCAGTCATCCTTACTCAGTTGAGTATCCTCTCCACATAGCCTTGCTGATTTTAACCAAACTGCTACAGGTGTAGGATACTGTGTAATGTAAGCAATGAAGTCTGGCCATAGATGATCAATACAGACACTAATCAGGGTAAAAAAAAAAGTCCTAGACCCACATGTGGTTTTCTTACTAATTTCCATGCCCATGCTCTGGAATGGTACTCAGTTCAACACATCATAAAAAAGCCTTAAAAGAAAACTATTTTAATACCTTCCCTAAGTCAGAGAGAGATATAGAGAATTTCTTGCTTTTATCTTCAATTCAGTGAATGCATTCATTGTTCGTTACTTGGAAGACAGATAGGTCTTTTATTAAATATCTTTGCTCACACATGAACACCAATCAACAACTGCAAATGGATACGCCACAGCCTGACAGGATGGTGTGTTATGGATGCTAAATTAACCAGTAATCAGTAGTTTGTTAAGCTATACCACCTGCAAAAAGGTCCCCATCTGAAGCCAAAGGCTGCAAGCTGAAATGTTGCCAGTGAATAGAGTTCTTCATCTTCTCCTCCCCTGCATGAAGGAGATGCACGCCGGTAGTGAGACCTGTCAGCCTGTTCCTTTTTCCTGGCTACTGACCAGCCAGCTTGGTTGGGTGACTGTGCAAGAGCGGTAGGAGAGCAGAGTTACCAGACCTGTGTAGTTAACAGAGCAGAAAGCAAAGACCTGCAGCAGCCCCAAAGGCAGCAGCGATGCCAAGCAGCAAGGCTGTCTGCTCCCCAAGGGCCCGGAGCAAGAGGAGAAGTGTTCTCACATGGCCTGTCCGGGCAGAAGCACTGCAGGGTGCCAGCTGCCAGCACCACTCTCAGAGCTCAGGAGCCCCTCACCTAAACACGTACACATTCTGCTGGTTGACTGTCACTGTGGGAAATTAACATGTGACCCAAGGACTGTCAATTGCAGAGATTTTCAGTCAAACAGTACCTCTGAAACTGATGGCACAAAAGTACCACTAGAAAAACTGACACCTCTAGAAGTAACATGAATCAAATTAGGCCTTGAAATACTAACATATACATTTTTTTTAAGTGTGCATTGTTGTATAACTCTATACTCTTCACATTGTCTATGCAGAAGCAGTGGGATCAGTAAGTTGTGGTGGGTGTAGATCTGGGCACAGTGTTGCTGCTGCTCACACAAAATGCCATTTGACTTCAGCAAGAGCTGCAGTGAAGGTTTGCAATCCGTGGCCCACATGAAGACTTTCCTCACCACCATATGTTAAAACATCCATCCCTGAAACAAAGAAGCCCTGTGTCCTTTTTGAAGCCTCTACATGGATGAATCCTTGTACAAGTTTATTAAACTTTTTTACTCAGGTAAAGCTTCCAGTGTCACAGCAGAAGATTTATCTGTTGAATGTATGAGTAAAACATCAGTTAAGAGTAAATGAGCTGTTAAAAAAATAGGGACTGATTTAAAAATGTTTAATGTCTGAAGCAATTCCAGGAGTGGGAGATGGAGAAAATAGAATAAAAGTATTTAATCAACAAAGCCTTTTTCCTTCGCAACAAAAACTTGCTAAGGAACAGAAGTCTTAGTGGTACCTTTTCTTATTTCCTTGCACTGCCTCAGAAGACTTCAGTGTGTGGTATAAAGCAGAAGCAGCTGCATGGCCCCTAAGAGGAAGACATCATTTTTTTGTTTTCTTGATCTACTGAACAGAATGTGAACCCAGCGCTCCACTAGCTTTTGGTCAGGCAATTCACAAAATATTCCCGTCCAGCCCTGGTAACACTGACACATGAATCTCTGCCTCATGGCTTCAATACTCTCCAGGTTGGGTTCACCAGTCACCTGGAACCTGGGGCCTCTTTCTGAGTGACTGGCTCGGATCTTAAAATTACTGGGTGACAAATGGAGGTAAGCAGAAGAGTCACTGTTTTTGCGGATACATCTTCCATTCTTCTTGCACAGGACTTTGCTACAGAGTTTGGCTGCTGAGGTCACGTTAATGACGTAATGTCCTAAGGGTCCATCAATGTACTGTTTCACAGTTGAACAACTCTCCTGTAGATAATAAAAGACCATGACACATTTCTCAGTAGCTAATATTATGTCCAAATCTTTTATTTCTAAGAAGATGCTAGTATAAAACTGTTCTTGGCTAAAATACTCTGTTGAGACAAATCTTGTTGGATTTACATACTGAAGTGATCTATTGGATTTAAGTGAGTTTACTTCCATGGGTAAGATTAGCAAAACATTAACCTTTACTATATTGTCTATTTGGGTGCTTGGTAGCCACATACAGTATTAGACTTGGGAGGAGTCCTAGTAAACAGAAAGAGAGTTTATATGCTAATCTGAGACTAACTAGTTCCTTAAGTAGAGATTCCTGGTAACTGCTAACAAGGAGCAGGGCATGGCACTAAAGCACATATGTATAGTTTTAAAGCACATATTGAGTCACTGCTTTGGTCCTGATCTCTCCAACTCCTTCAATTTACTAGAAGCCACATAATTTTCAGAAACCAGCAAAGGAGTTGTGCAATTGCAGCTAGAAAGTTCCAGTTCAGAGTTTCCTCTTCTTCTGCCCAAGTCAGTGGTGCTTTGCCAGAGATGACAGGAGAAGAGCAGACTGCATGAAAAACAGAGCAGACACCAAAGCTCAGGTTCAGAAGCTGAGCTAGCCTGCTGTGAAACCCCAGTGCAGCCTCCTGCCACCTCCATCACTTCAAGAAAGATTATTTGTGAAAGACTGAAGAACCTGGGAGGAGGAACTATGCCTTTTGTTGTAGCAGCATCATTTGCCACCTTTCATTTCAACACAAACGCCACTAGCAAAGAGAAAAAATACCCTCCTTCAGACTCCATCCCTTCCCTGTGGATCTGTACAAACTGCCACAGCTAGAAGAACACACCACAGGGTAGAACACTGTAAACGAAACTGTGTTTATATTTGTATGAAGTTGCTTCAAAACATGCCTGTCTTCTAGCCTGGACTCATTATTCCAAGCTGCTACAAATGACCTGCCCAAAGCAATATGCTCTGAAGCAATGGGACTTCTCAACCTAAAAAGTACAGGACTAAGGAGACCATGTAGGCCGTTATCCTCAGTTGCTGGCTGATGGTATCAAAAAAGATAGATAGGTGGTACAGAGGGTATGGTGGCAGGGAAGAGGTATTGAGGTGATTCCTAAATACTAATAAACCAATACAACCTACCTTTGAACTGGCATATTGCATACTGCCCCAGAGAACAACTCCTGCTGCTCCCAAAGCTGCACTTTCACCAATGGTATTGACCAGATCTGTCTGAAAAAGGAGAAGGCCAAAATCAGACAGCAGAAGAATCAAAGATATAAAAATAAAAGTAAAAAATCACAAGAATATGGGCATAACTTTTTTTTTTTTTTTCCCCAGAGGAGACATTGATCCTGTGGTATATCCTTCACAGTAAAAGTGCTATTTAGTTTAGAAAGCTCTTCTGTGTACTTCCAAAGCTTTGCGTAGATTTTCATGCGTAGATTTCACGCATTTAAGACAATTACAGAGAAGTCAGAAGGAGCAGTGACTTTGACCTTTAACTAAAGGTTGGACAAAACAGTGCAAGAAAACCTGCAGAAGTCTGAAAGAGTAGAACTTGCCTACTGGCTCTTAGTGTAGGGTTCAGAGTAATATAAAGTATAATCAGTCTCCCTTGAAGTTTATGTTGCTGCTGATCATCCAACTGGTCTTTTAGAGAAGGCAATTACCCTTAAAAGTCTATAATCTGGTGATAGTTTTATAAAAGGAGAGTGGTGTGGGCTGAAGGTGTTACTTTTATGTGGGAAATGACTATTTTTTTTTTTCCTATGGGAATTAATTTATCAGTAAAAAAAAAAAAAAAAAAAAAAAAAAAAGTATGTGAATTAAAGATCAAAATATCAAAAGTTAAGAGAATGTGAAATATACCCTCTTGGTAATGAGGGTTCCCAGGGCTTTCTCATCTGCAAAGCATTTTATGAAGATTACCCAGATACACAGGCTGGACTGTGATTCTGCACTGGACCCATGACGACTGAGTGATTTAGCACTAACACGGTTCAGATCTCATTAACAAATTAATGAAACCTTTTCAGACAGCCAAAGTAAATAATCAATAAATATCTAGCTTTACTGGATGAGCTAAGACCTGAGAAAACCCTGAAATAAAGATTTTGCAAGTAATATGCTTCAGGAGTTAGGGTGCTTGACCAGGAATCAGTAAAACCAGTTTTTATTCCCTCATATTACATCGATTTCTTTTGTTACTGTAGAAATTGTTTAGATTAAGATCCACAAAGAGGATTTCAGCACCTCATATCTAATTCATACAGATATAAAATAATCAAATTAAAGAGCATAACCCTTAAAGTTTACCTAGTCCTCTGGTTGTTTGAAGTCCAATGACACTGATAATTTCACAACTCAAGTTCCCAAGGCACTTCCACTTCCACTTTTGTGCACACCTAGAATCACCACCTTGCCAATGCTGAGAAACTCAGCACTTTTCTCAGGCTAAGACCAAATTCTGGCATTTGATTGGAAGGTATATTCCCCTAGGGATGCTTAAAGGACTCTTATGGCACCTGCACAAGTGTTGGACACTGGCAAAAAAAACAACTCACTGTAACAAAAATTGTATAGGACTTCATTTAAACACTCTCCTTCCACCTTACATTTCCTCTTCTTGTGTTATTTAAAACAAAAGTTGAGTTCTAAGAGTCCTCCCCAGGAAGAAAGAGAATCAGAGAGACACAGGCTGAATTTTTCTCTCTTTCCCCAAGGTTAAAAGGTACATTATCTCCAGCTAACCCTCCAGTGGGGGTTATCTTCACCATGAGGTTACAGACAATGTTTAGAGGGGTGCCATTTCTCTTTCTGATGCCATTTCTCTTTGCACCAATTCAATGAAGATTCAAACGAGAGCAAGAGAAACAAGTTGGAACCTGACTACAGCTTATGATTATTTCAGCTTAATAAATTGGTAATTTGCCCACAACAAAAGCAGTAAGGTTTCTGACTGTCATTTCTAGGCACAGTTACATTTTTTACTGGGTAACTGATTCACGTTCAGTACCTCAAAAGCCATCAGCTCTTCCCTGAATAACCTATAAACAGGAGGCTGCACTCTCTCTTTTATTTTCTCTCTCCTGTACACTCGCTTTTTTTGGTCCGGTGATTCCCTAACTATTTTTTGGTGTCTAACACAAGGTCCTGAGCAGGCTGGGAAGAGAACTGAACTGATATTTCCTGGGACAGAGGTGAGTGCTCTGACCACCAGTTGGTCACATGAAGAGGGAAGCACCACCACCTGCCCTTGCCATAGACAGGGTTAGAAGATAAAAGTCTAATCCCCTATTTGAGTATTTTGAGAAATGGAACGATAAGTGCCTCTCATAACATCTGAGAGCAATAAATCCGGAGCAGAGATAGGGAGGTGCCTCTCTGAAGCCTTGTACAAGGCACATGAGCTCCACCAGTGGCCTCAGACACAGCAGTCCTGGTGCAGCTCCTCACACAGGGCAGCTTGCCACTAGTGGGGCTCACTGGCATGGCTCTGCCAGGTAAGCGTAAGAAGTACTGCATATGGAAGAAAACATGCGAGTTTAAAAAATTTTAGACATCATTTTAAATATGACCACCTTGGCATTTGTCCAGGTGGGGAATCTTATTTCATCCTTTGTATCAGATCCTTGTCCATCCATGTTGGAAGACTGTCCTGAAGAGACAACTTTATGGATCAGCTACCACTTAGGCGTCTGGTATTTCTCCAAGTGATAAATAAGTCAACAAAGCCTCTTCCTTTCCAATGCTCATTCTCATTCAAGCTTTTGGGGGCAGTGTGCAACAACCAAAGATCTTCAAGATTATACTGGTCTATCAGACAGATGATTTGGCAGAGGAGGAGGCTCTAGTTCCTATCAATACTTCTCCATATTTTGATCAGCCTAATCACTGCATTGGACACTAAAAAAGTAGGAGGTGAGCTAAGCTGTTTCAGTTTTGGAGACTGAGAGGAACAGGACAGTCAGTCTAGTTATATGTTGAGGAAAGAAAAATAAGTACATCTGTAATCTTTCCTCTAAATTCAGAACAATCAGATTCAGACATGCTTTTTCTGTATTCAGGAATGGCAGTGGCTTGTTTGCAGAGAATGGCCTCTGTTCACATGCACACCTGATCATCAGAGAAGACTGTAGCTGAATGAGAGAAGTTGTTATCCATTATGCATCTTTTGTTAGTTGTCATCCTGCTGTATTAATGATTTCAGCCATCTAGCCAGGAAGCACAGATGCTACTGTGTAACTTCCTTCTCCCACACGATTAGTAGTGAATTGTCAAGGCAGATAGTTTCTAAATACCTTACAGGTGGCAAACTGCTTATATGCATTTGTAGGGAATACAGAAACCTTTCATAATGATTGGGAACCTAATTCAGAATTTATAAATTGTTTCCAAGAAAAAAAGCAGGATTAATTTCTCAGAAACTTTTTGCACAACTCACCTGATTTCCAGGTGCAGTCAGGGTGAAAGGTACAGGACACATAGCTACAGCATCCGTTTGAGACTTGGGTCTTTCATCTTTATGAAGGTCTGCTAGAGCTGTGTTTCTCCCTCAGTAATTCTGACTCACAACCATTCTTTCTATTTTCTTCCACTGTGACATTTACTGTATTTTTCATATTGTGTACAGAAGAGCTTACATACAAGGCTTGAACATGTCCACAATTATTTCTGTTGGACCAGAATATCGCAGCTCTTGCACAGCTTGGAGCAGGGCAGCAGTTCTCCTGGCCCAGTCTCTATCAGAGCCCAAGTATCTATTAGCCTGCTATCCCAGATTTTCTATGGCCATTTAGCCTGGATATCATTGTACTATGCTAGCTCCTTTCTTTGTCACATTCATGCACATTATTGCCGGAACTAGGAGGTGTCGTGCCTTGTTTGTAAGTCTGTGAGCATCACTTAGGGGCTCATCGAATGAGAAGCTCTAGTCTCATCTAAAATCTGAACACACAAAACCGTATTTAAAATATCTTGGTGGCTTTAGTGCTATGAAGGAAAACAAGAATGTTATTTTCCTGATCATTCCTATTTAAAGTTTTCTTAAGTGCAACTCTGCAAGTTCCTGGCAGTCCCAAGCTGTTCACACAGAGGATGTGTATAGTTTGGAGACATGTCAAGCCCTGTCCCCATAGCTGCCTGCAGAGTTGGGTGCTGTCCTTATTAGCAAAGATGTTTCTCTGGCTATGTATGGATCTTCCCTGGCTGCAAAGTTATAAAGTGATTTTTAAAGCATCTAAATGGCTACATGCAATTGAAAAACAGGCCAGTGAGTTAAGAGTATAACTTAAGAGGAATTTGTCACTCCAAATTGCCACTGTGCTGTTCAGAAAAAAGCTTGAAGTAAAACATTAACTTTATACCATCACAGATTTTGAACTTGTGCATAACTGGTAGCAGCATATTAGTTTTCATAGCTTTCAGTAACATGTGGTATCTTTATATTGATCAAGGGACTAATTTATACTGTAAAAATGTATCATTTCAGCTTGCATTTGAAGAATGCTCTTTTATTTCATGGCCTGAGTTCTTCAGTGAAGCTGTTCTGCATGAAATCCTGCTTGTACTGTACCCAGTGGCTCCTTGCCTTCAGTGGGAACCAACCTTGCCTGTTTGCCCATGATTTCCAAGTCAGCTAGGACCTGCAGTTTCCACATTACACAGAAAACAGGTCCAAATAGGCCCTGAAAATGAGGCAGACTGAATTAATGTTTGCTTCTACTTGCCACTTGCTTCCTAGCGGCAGCCTGAAACACTTCCCAGGCTTTGGGGGCTCCACCTCCCCTCCCCATCTCCAGCTCCAGGCTGAAGCCACATGCAGCCTATGGTTTGCTGGACTGACCATTGCCTTTTCCCTTGCCCCTTCTCTCCTTTTTGCTGTTCTTGTTTCAGTCAAGAAATTGTCTCTGGCAGCAGCAGAAGTGAGCTCTCATGCAGCTCTCCCTAGACCAAAGGGAGGGAGCACCCCCGGATGCCCTTGGCTGTTGAGGGGTTGTTTTTATGTGCTCCCTGCCCCAAATTTCCTCCTCTCTTCCCTCTTGTGGAATTGATAGTGATCAACACAAAACTTTCAGCACTTGGGACATCTACTAAAGAAATCAATAAACATCTGTGTCTCTCTATTATGTGCATATGTTCCCCCTCTACTCTGCCCTGGTGAGGCTACATCTGGAATATTGTGTCCAGTTCTGGGCCCCACAGTTCAAGAAGGACAGGGAACTGCTTGAGAGAGTCCAGCGCAGAGCCACAAAGATGATTAAGGGAGTGGAGCATCTCCCTTATGAGGAAAGGCTGAGGGAGCTGGGTGTCTCTAGCTTGGAGAAGAGGAGACTGAGTGGTGACCTAATTAACGTTTATAAATATGTTAAGGGCAAATGTCATGAGGATGGAGCCAGGCTCTTCTCAGTGATGCCCAATGGTAGGACAAGGGGCAATGGTTGTAAGCTGGAACACAGGAGGTTCCACTTAAACGTGAGGAGGAACTTCTTTACGGTGAGGGTAACAGGGTACTGGAACAGGCTAAAAAAGGAGGGAGGGGGGGGACCCTTCCTTGCGCAAAACCCCCCTGGACGCCTTCCTGTGTAATCTCATTTAGGTTCCTGCTCCGGCAGGGGGATTGGACTAGATGATCTTTTGAGGTCCCTTCCAATCAATTCTGTGATTCTGTGATAAACAAAGTCAGAGCCATGACTGTCATTACATATCCAGATGGTCTGGGATTTGTACACATATAGCTTTACCACCAATGTTGTGGCCACTATATATTTATGCACTTGATCGTTGGTTGCAGGAATATTGCATGACTTAGTTTCTTTATTAAGAGGAGTCCACAGTGTTAGCACTAAATGTTGGATCATGAAGATATTTGAACGTGTTTTACCTTTGAAAAGCAAGATGGCCAATGCTCATGATGCAGGAGTTAGGAACTCCAGGCCAGACTAGTTTACTTGACTGGTTTATTTCTATACTGAGTGAATTTACATTTGGATAAAGAAACAAAAAAGCCCTGAGGCTCCTTTCTCATGAAGTTTATCTTTCCATTACACTAACTAGTTTTAAACTTTATGAAAATTTGTCAAGTTCATTTCACAAGCTGTCCTGCAGAATTAAAATATCAGAATAAATTACTTACTTAAGGAAATTATTTTTTTGTACTTTCTTTCTAAATTACCCTCATTAAAAATATATAATGTTATCCTACAGTAGAGCAAAGTGCTGCAATACTAACTATTAAAAGGTATAGAGTTTTGAACCATGACTAAAGTACTTCCTTTTAGAGGGTCTTTCTTAAACATGAAAAACAAATGCATAAATGCTTTTATACAAGTAAAACTTTTAGAAAGTACTTTTTCTAAGAGACTGTTTCTAATCTCTAAATTCCTAAAGAAGTCTGTCTGCTTACCTCTGTTAAAACATGAAAAGTATAGGCATAAAATGGTCTGGAGTAAACAAAAACAGGCAAAACATAGTCTTTTCTAGCAATTGAGGCAACACGTATTGCCTCCTTAACCCGATAGTGAACAAACTTCAGTGCATTTGGACTTGACTTCAGTACATAATCCAGGTATATAGAAGGGTAGAGAGCAGTGCTTTCCTTCCATAGCCAAAGCAGGAGGTCATTGCGGGAAGACTCAATGTCTGGGCATTTCCCTGTGTATGTTTGGGGTTGTTCTTTGTAATCATAATTGTAGCAGTCTGGGTAAAGGTAGTAACCCCATAAACCGTTTGGTCTCATATGTTCAGCCAGAAGGATAGTGTTGTTCATAAAGCTCTTGCCAGCATTTTCAAATTCCTCTTTAGCCACTTTCCTAATTTTGTCCTCTGACCACTGAGGATGTCGTCTCCTAACCATCTCAAGAGATTTATTTCTATAAATGCTTTTATTACCCCAGTTCCTATCCCACTGGGGCCTCCAGTTTTCCCAGTCAATGATTGCAAGTCCCTGAAATTTCTTCATGGGTATGCAATAGTCAATGTCAGACTTTGCTTTATTAAGGTGTTTGATAAGACTTTCGTTCTGAGGTACCCCTCCATTGACAGGGTCTCCGTTATCTGAGTAGTAGGGATAGTATCCCAAATGAGTGTGATAGAAGATTGTCACGCTGGACCCACTCAGAGTCTCATTGGTGTTGGATGCAATGTCAAAAACACTGAGATCCAGGTCCACCTTGTAACGCAGCCTGCACTGCTCAGTCGGCGCGTTCCAAAACACCATGAAAGGCTTGTGCAGAACCAGGGGGGCCCTTGCAGGCTTCAGTAGTTGTGCATCAGCCATAGTAAGCAGCAACATCACTGCTAACCATTTCACCCAAACATCCATGGTATGTTGTTTTCTGGGAAATTGTTATGATGTGTCCTTGAAAATGAAAATGAGAGAAGACATGTTAGAAGGGCAGTAGCCACCCTGGAGACAGACAGCATGACAAAGGGATGTCTTTCGGTTTGATTTGCCTTTTTTAATATTATACCCAGTGCAAAGAGAGAAACATCCAAAACTATCATCTTGTTCTAATTTCAAATGCTTTGGAAGACTTTTTGATAGACTTTGCTGTCTGGAATTGCGTTCTGATGCTCAGCTTTTTTTGCTTTCCTCCTCATCCAGACACCTCACATAGTTGATTCAGACTTTTCCTTAACACTTATTTCCTCCATGATGTCTAAGAAAAATGAGTTAATAAAAGAATAACTTAAACAGCAGTATAAAAAAGAACACGCTGCTCATTTGAAATTTCGTCTTCCAAGCATGTTCTGCTATGGTCTGTCTAACTTGCCCAGAGCATCATCACAATGGGGTTTAGGGCTTCTTTACTCTCTGTGTATGATAATGGTCACAACAGGAAAGGTAATTTAAATAAAAGGTAGAAACCTCTACCTCACAAAGATGAATCAAGAGAACACAGAACTGTTGCAATTTTCAGAACATCTGAAAAAAGGTGTAGTTATCTACCCCTGAATTTAATTTTCATTGTCTAAATGAATAGATGCAACAGTGATAATCAATCTGTAGACTAGAAGGGTGATATTATTAATGACTTAATGGTTCAAGCTTCTTATTATACTGAAAGCAAATTAAATAACCATACACTAAAGAAAATAAATTATGTTAAGCATTATCTTGAATGGATGGAAAAGTATGCTACATCTTTTAAAAAGGGACCTAGTCTGTAGAAATAGGGGCTTATTAGTATTAATTTTTCCTTTCAGGATCTGCTGTTTTCCCTGACTGATAAGCACACTGTCTTGGGGACTACTAGTACTCTGGGAGCTGCCAGAGCTGCAGGGCTGCTGGCACCCACACCTCTACTTTGGACCCCGTGGGGCAGCTGTTCATCCACTGCCTGCAGCTGGCTGTTCCAGGATCTTCCCCTGCTCCTGCCTCTTCCTCAAGAAGTATAACTCAGCTCTGTCCTGGGTTTGTCATTCAGGTTTATTTGCTCAGGAATAAAATACCTTTTATTGATGCTAATGAGTAACACTGCGCGGTGGGGTCCAGCTGATCATTAAAATTGTTCACTCTTATGAATATTATGTTATAGTATGACATGGTTTATCCTCTCATTATTATCTTCTAACATTCACCTGTACCTGTCAAGTTCCTCCATTTTATTCACATGTTAAATAACATTAAGCTGCAATCACTGCCTACATTGCAGGTTCAATTCATGCACTAGCCATGTGAATTTGAAATGTCCTGCAACCGGAGATTTCCCAATTTTTACATCCATTTTTAATGAATTCCTTCCTTGCCTATAAAGTCAGACCCAAGTTATCCTATCATAATTAGCCTAGCTTCACTTGTCTCTAGTATTTTCTCACTGTTACATCAGTTAATCACTTAACTCCTTTCCTAGACAAGGAGAGCTCTTCACACCTACCCATCTATTAGCTCACAGCCAGGATCACTAGGTTTGTTACTTTCCAAACCAGTATAGCCAACACACCACTCTACTAGATTTTGCAGTACTCCTTGGAGTACCACAAAGGTATGCCTTTTAACTAGTAATATGATGCCAAATCTACAGGAAAACTGTGAGTACACCTACACAAATCAGCCAGCAGACTTATTAAAGAAAAAAAATGTTCCATTGTTTGAAAATTTGTTGGCCTTTGTGAGTGATATAATCCAGGGTTTCTCACCCTGTCATTTCTCTTTCTTTGCCATTATTCCATCCTTTGGGTTTCACACTTCTTTTCCTGTTTGTCACTGCTCTCCTGATCCTCTGCCTTTTCCTTAAGTCACTACTTTGTCTCTTTATCTCCTAGAGAACAAACTTTCTCTTCTCTATCCTGTCTTATATTTTTCCATTTTCAGTCCCAGTAAAGCATCAAATCCCCCCACTCAGTGGTCTGGTACAAGAGCACCTTCCCAAGAAGTGGAGAAAAGCAATTTGCACTAAGCAGTTGCGACAGGCAATGAGTGAGGAGCAGGACAGCAAGAAGCCACAATGTAGGGCTCCTCAGGAGCAAGCCCTCATTAGCAAGCTAGAGATTTATGGTCCTGTTGTTTCCGCACTCGCTCTCTGGCTGCTTGCTTTGCATGCCTAAATAATAGAATCATAGAATCATTTTGCTTGGAAAAGACATTTAAGATCATCGATTCCGACTATAAACCTAACACTGCCAAGTCCACCAGATTTAGCATCTAGTTTTTAAAACTTTGCTCACAACCCTTTAGATCCTGTTAAGGATAACACCCTTGACTGAAATGGGCCATTGCTACAGGCCAGCAAGCTGGTACTAGGTGCAAGAGTGCCTGTTGGAAAAGGACTCCAGGTGGTTTTCACTCCACTGATCTGCTGGAAGGAAGTCTTGCTTGCAACTGGTATATTTTTCTCTGCTTTCCTTCAGAGTCTTGAATAATTATCTAAGTAATGTCATAGGCTGGGAAAAAAACAAAGCCACAAAAAATGCCTTTCTTTTCCTGTTTTATATAAACTGATGAATGTGTCACAGTACTTTGGGCACCTTCTTTGATGCAGTAAACTGACTCAGTACATTTGTAAGTGCTTTTTCAGGATTTGGACTGGATTTCTTTGCAGTACATGAGAAAAAGCCTATAATATAAACAAGCCTATAATATAAAGTTTTTCTCAAAATATAATAGCTCAGATGAAAGAGAAAGAGCAAGAGGAGAGAAAGGAAAGACCTTTAGTGCATTTCTGTGTTAAAAAAGACCCAGGAAAATATTCCAGCTGCCTATTCCCACAATCCAAATGCTGATACTGTTTAGTCTTGTGTTCTTATGAACATATAATTAGATCATTTTGTCATGTATTAATGACTAATACAGTAAGGTTCCTGTCTAGATCTGTCAGCCCTAGGCATTAAAACACTGCAGATAATAAAACACAAGAGAAATAGGCCTGGAAATATAGTGCAGGATAATTTTAACTTATGTTTTTAATTCCCAGACAATTCCTGTCACTGGTCTTGGCAGCTTTAAATCACAGAATGGCTGAGGTTGGCAGGGACCTCTGGTCCTACCCCTCTGCTTAAGCAGGGTCACCTGGAGCCAGTCACCCAGGATCATGTACGAAACGCCACAAGTGACAAAATGAAAATGCTTATCTCATAACACACTTAATATCTCTTGGGTGTCTTTTGACTGGATTGACAAATATTCATTGAATTAGTCACCCAGCTGTCTCTGTTGGCCTCAAAAAGAAGCCACCTTTCAGATGGCTAAAACTGCAAAGCATTTCGCTTTTCCTGATATTTTCTGTTGCACACAGGAAACACTTCTATACACACAATTCCTTAAAAGGGAGAAAATTCCCAAAAAAATTGTCTTGCAAAAAAGTTCCAATCCAGTTGCATCAATCCATGATTATTTCTGATGCTATTGACACATGAGAATTTAATTACAGATGCCTAGTTTTGCTTTAAAAAGCCATGTGAAGCCATGTGAAACAAGTTTCCAAAGAAACAGATAAGCCTATAATTCTGAAAGAGGGGAAAATGAATTATCTGTTGTTTCACAAATGGACAAAAGAACCTCTAAACAAGAACAAAACATCTTTTATCACAATTTCCACTGCTCTATCTTTGGACTATGGCCTTTTTAGTTTCATGCACAGGCATTAATTGGACTGCTTTAATTCCTTTTTTTTTTTAATGAGCACAGATACTAATGATTCCTTCTAGAAGCTCATTATCAACCTTGATTCAAATCCTCCTGTTTTTCTGATTCAATCACATATTGTCATGGTTAATTTAACTTCCCAAAGATGCACATAGCTTTCTGAGGCACTACTGTGTTTGCAGAGCAGAATCTGTTTTCAGTGTTTCTGCTCTATATTCTAAAAACAAAAATTAATTCTTCATAAGTGAAAGAACTGGGGGACTGATCACAAATCCATTGAAGCAGATGAGAGATTTTTTATTGTACTCGGGAAACTTTGGATCATGCTTTCATTGCACAAAATAACATGTAGTTTTCTATGTGCATCAGCTTCTGTTATGCAGTTTAGGATGAAGAGGGCTATGGATGTATTTCAATATATCCTTTAATAAGTGTGGTGAAATTTGTCATTTCTTGAATAGAAAAAGTGCATTCATTTCCACATATTACTTTCATATTTTTTGTAAAAAGAAAACCTTTGCTTTTCCCAAGCAAATGCTGCTAACTTAGTCCAATCTTTATTTCCACTATGTTTATTGGTCAGAATTCCACTATATTTTCATTTCAAAAGGGCTGAACTAGACATCTCAATTGCACACTTTGATTCTACAATAAATGGCTTAAATTCAGTAAAAATATATAATCTCACCCTAAAGAAACCTATTTGCACATCCTGTGTTCCAGTACAGCCCAATAGTGTTCTCCAGACAGCCAGCTCTATTTTTCTGCTAGTTTTTATTGATTATCCCAGCATTCTTTGCACTGTAACACATGATGTTACAGCTGGTACTTTTGATTATGATTCATATGATGGTCACATAGCCAGCCAACACAACTTCGTAACAGCCAGCAAAGGCATCCTCTCATTTTATACTCATCCATATGTTGACTTTTCAAGGAAGTATAATCCATATGTTTAGCTATAATACCATTTTCTGTTTTCATCTTCTGCTGAGTTCAATTGTTCTTGATGCTCAAGGTTTTCAATCTCTTCTGGATGAACAGCTCATTTGTATGGGCATATTCACTATTCAGATTTATCTTTTAGGAGTGGCACATTTTAAGTTTTTTTGACTGCCTATGCAGTGGGCAACAAGATAAGAAGAGTCTTCTATCAAATAAACATTTCTTAAAACTTAATAATCTTTCACTGTGTACTTTAGTTAACAGTTAATGTTCTGGAGATTTAATTTCATTATTCTTTACCTGTCAGGTGAGAAACTCACAGGATATCT